GGGGGGGGTGTGTTGGGCTTTTGTTGCTGCGCACGGGCTTTCTCTAGTTGCAGCGAGCAGGGACTACTCTTTGTTGCGGTGCGCGGGCTTCTCATTGCGGTGGCTTCTCTTGTTGCGGAGCACGGGCTCTAGGCGCGCGGGCCTCAGCAGTTGCAGCACGTGGGCTCAGTGGTTGTGGCGCACGGGCTCAGTAATTGTGCCTTCCGGGCTCTTGAGCACTGGCTCAGTAGTTGTGGCTCACGGGCTTAGTTGCTCCACGGCATGTGGGATCTTCCCGGACCAGGGCTCAGACCCGTGTCCCCTGCATTGGCAGGCAGCTTCTTAACCACTGCGCCACCAGGGAAGTCCCCACATATTTTATTATTATAAAAAACTACAGTTCTGAAGAAACCAGTCAATGAACAAACGTGCACTAAATAACTGCTATACACATGGCAATGTCAAGGAGGGAAGGGAGTACTAAACATATATTACCAGTTCCTTACCTTGGGAGCAATCTTCAAGGAGTTTGCTAAAATGTTTATATGGGTAACTAATATATAGTATTAAGATTATAATTTCAAAATTGTTTAGATTTTAAAGTGTTTAAAAAATCTGTACACCAATATGTTCTTTATTTTACTATCCTATCTATAAAATACTTATTAAATGTCCACTCTGCTCAAAAAACTCAGAGCATGTTCAGAAGTTCCCAGCCTTTGGGAATATGAGGACCTCACGCTAGCAGTGTATTTTTCTGGCACACACTGACTGAGAAAAACACACACGTGTATGGGACTGGAGCTACCTTACGATGACTCCAGTGTCCTTAGGAGTCAGAATGTCAGTTTGGAACTTCCATGTTAGACGTCATGGGAGCACAAAGAAATATGAGGCAATGTCCTTGCCTTTATGAAAACAGAAATCTAACTGGAGAGCTAAGACATACATATATGAAAAGTTAAGTTATGTTAGAGTAGTAAATTATTGAATACCAAATAAATATATTCAGTAGTTAGTGTTCAGAGATGGGAAAAGCCACTATGATTTAATGTAGTTGTGGAGAGTTCCAGGAAGATGTAGAACCTAAGCCTGACTTTGAAGACTGAGGTAGGATTTGGATATAAAGAAGGGAAAGCCAGACCATACTCCAAATAGGAGTAAACAGTGCAAACAAGAGAAGTAGAAAAAGAAACAAGTTTTGGGGCTTCCCTGGTAGCGCAGTGGATAAGAATCTGCCCGCCAATGCAGGGGACGCAGGTTCGATCCCTGGTCCGGGAAAAGCCCACATGCCATGGGGCAACTGAGCCCGTGCACCACAATACTAAGCCTACGCTCTAGAGCCCGCGAGCCACAACTACTGAAGCCCGCGCACCTAGAGCCCGTGCTCCGCAACAAGAGAAACCACCGCAGTGAGAAGCCCGTGCACTGCAATGAAGAGTAGCTCCTGCTCGCCGCAACTAGGGAAAGCCCGCGTGCAGCAACGAAGACTCAACACAGCCATACATACGTACATAAATAAACATTAAAAAGAAAGAAATTTTGGAGATAAAGAGTAAATCATCTGAAACACATAAGGTTTTTCACAGTCAAGTACAAGTATACTGGTTAACTGGATTTAATCCCAACTCCTTCCAACAGTCAGCTGGTAACATCTATTAAAATATCCTGTGCACATGTTCCATTCTTGAAGTCTTAACTACTTTGTTTTTAACAGGCAATTCTATGAACAGACTACTGAAACATTTTAAAGCAAATCTAAAGCAAATAAACCATTTGTGATAGGCAAAATAATGGTCCTCCAAAGATCCCTAATCCCTGAAACCTGTGAATATGCCATCTTACGTGGCAAAAGGGACTTTGCAGATGGAATTAAGGTGACAGACCTTAAAATAGGGACATTTTCCCAGATAACCCAAGTGGGTCCAAGATAATCATATAGGTCTTAAAAGTAAAAAAGGCTAGCAGAAGAGTTAGAGATATGAGATGGAAGAAGAGGCAGAAGAGATTCAAAGTGAGAAAGTGACTCCATCTACCCATTACTGGCTTCGAAGATGGAGGAAGGGGCCACAAGCCAAAGAATGCAGACAGCCTCTAGAAGCTGGGAAAGACCCTCAGTGACAGCCAGCAAGGCAACTCAGAGCTCAGTCCTCAGACTCAAAGAACTAGTTATGCCAACAAACTGAATGAGCAAGGAAACAGACTACTCCTTAGAGCCTCCAGAAATGAATGCAGCCCTGCCCACATTTTAATTTTAGCATGGTGATTTCTGACTACAGAACTATAAAATAATAAATTTGTGTTATTTTAAGCCATTAAGATTGTGTTAAATTTGTTACAGCAGTAATAGAAAAACTCACCATTTATTATAGTTGTAGTAACTACTATATGTAAATAACATGTCATGTAAATAACAAGAGATGTCTAATCAACTTTAAGATAATCTGGGGCAGAAATACTGACTTTATTTTTTTATTCCCATCCTTAATCATAGACAGTGCTTAAATGATAGATGTTTATGAGACACATACAAAGACAATATGTTCAAATATAAAGTTTTTCTTTTTAAAAATAGTTTTTGATTACTAAGATCAAAATGATATCAAATAAAGACTAAGTGAAATAACAAAATCAAACACTAATATTCATGAATCTAGACTGCATAAAAGAAATCACCTACTTTGAGCCCACCGGTAAAGTCTTTCATAAGATGTTTCTTGAAGCAAGGCCATCTGTTCCATAATTTCTAAACTAAAAACATTAAAGGTTTATTATAATTTATTAAAAAGTTTTAGCCAATAGCTATTGAATACATCTAAGAACCTAATCACTTTATTTAATTACAGAGTGATTTGGTTATAGCCTACTAACTTTTTATCATCTTGCGGAATTTTTCAGTAAATGTTTATAATTAAATGTCGCCAAGTTTAACACCATCACTTAGATACCCAACTGCTGTTTTACTCTAAACGTATCAGGGTATAACTTTCTCCTTATCCAAAGATACATAAAGATTAAACTTCTATTTCACAAAATGTCATAATGTCATATACTTGAAGAACCTAGAAAATCGTTAAATTTTGGAAATACAAAAGGTAACACAATCATGAACTGAAAAGACTACTCACCCTGCTGTTTGTTGGTTTGTACGCAAGAGAACTTTGACATCATTATGAATCTGTTTTACTCTTCCCAATGCCTTGAAAAAATCCTTTAAAATTAAAGCATATTTTTTAACTATAGATCTAGAATACAGAATTTACAAAAGAAGAAATTAACAAGATTGAAAATGGTTGCCAAAGGACTTAGAGATGGGAAGGAGTGGGATAGGTGATGTAGGTTTTCTTTGTAAGCCATGTTGTACTCTTTGACTTCTAAAAACAACCAAAAGTTTATGTATTGCTTTGAAAAATAAGGTAATTTAAAATATGCACCTTAATTGCTAAATTTAAAAACATTTTTAAATCAAAAAAAATTTTAGGTGGTAAAATAAAGCCTTAAAAAAAGAGTGATTTCTCTATAACATCTGTAACTGCTATGCTTTAAGTGATTTTAACAGAAAGCAAAATACCTCAGTGATAGGTCCTTCTCTTGTACCTCGGAGAAGACTCATTTCGTCAGAAGTCAGCTGGAACTTGGATAAGAAGGCATCTGCAACTTGCGCTCTTATTTCTAATGTTTGACTGTAATATTTTTAAAAAGGCAACAAAAAATCAAGCACACTATGCATCTGCATAGCTTTAAAACAAGTTACATCTGACATAACTTTTAAAACAAAGGTGTGGAAGAGTCTCAGTATCTTCAAAAGCCTTATTTCTGCCTCAAATATTAGAAGCCCATCAGGCACGTAGGTGATAAAACTGGCTGATATTGTTCAGTAGAAGCCACAGTAAAATGATTAATCATTAAGCAGAAGAAGAAATACGTTCATGAATGGTCCGGGTATTACAATCCTTAGCCACTTAGGTGTACTTGCACAGTTTGCCTCTTGAAAACAAAGTTATCTTACAGAAGAGAAATATGCCAGTTAATTTCTTCTCAGTCACTAAAAAAATCCTAAGCCTTTGAAGCTTGCACATGAAGTACACAACAACCAAAAATCAGGTCCATTATTTTTTTATTTTAGGTTAGAAATAGTAGTCAAGAATTCATTTAGTAATCCCTCATTAAATCAAAAAAATCACTCTTCCACTCTCCCTTCCCCACTTTTTCTGCATACGATAATAAAAAAAAAAGTCTTTTCAATTATACTATCCGAATGCAACCTATCTAGACTAGCTGACAATTAGCAAAAGGCACACTCTATAGTCTGCAGGGACCTGGAGGACTGAGCAGGGTCCCATCTAAGGGCAAGTCAGGAATACAAACTACAAGAGCAGAAATTCAACATCCCTGCCTTCTAGATCTTAGATGTGAAGACATATAAATAAAATTATAAGTGTTTCACTAGTAGTATTCACAGGGCAGTGATACTCTACAATCTACCAATATTCAAATGAAACTGAACAAAGATAAACATTAACCCTATCTGAACAGACAGTACAATGCATGCCATCTTTGTTTGCACTCGAGTTGTGAGGTTTTAAATTCAGTCAAATGCCCTGCTGAATGACATAGAAGGTTAGAAAGGAAAGGTCCTCCAGGTGGCAGTAATGTTCTGTTTTTCTCAAATAATGTAAATCACCTAATTAAATTTATACAGATTTAAATAGCCTATGTCCTTAATCATCATATTAATACTGATACTGATATCTAAAAGTTACCTAAACAGGTTTTGTTTTATATTTTTAGATAAAGGTCAAATTGTTATCATACAGGATTTAAAGCAATTTTAACACTTCATAAAATTCCTTGAGACTATACAAATTAACCATTTCAATGAAAACGTTTTGAGAGTTTCTTTTGGATCTTTATAGTCAATTTATCACGCACAACGGAAAATTCATCCCTTTATTGGTTCATTTTGCTTTAACTAAATCTAGTACAGTTGACCCTTGAACAACATGGGGGTCAGGGACGCCGACCCCAGCCCCCAACCCCTTGCCCTGTGCAATGGAAAATCTGCACCAGCCAGATTCAACTTTACAGCCAGCCCTCTGCACCAGAGGATTCAACCCACCATGGACTGTGTAGGACTGCAGTACGTATTAACTGAAAAAAACCCACATATAAGTGGACCTGTGCAGTTCAAACCCGTATTGCTCAAGGATCAACTGTAAATTCAAGATATTATTTAAATCACATTACTCTTTAGTTTTACCATATATAGTCTTCCCAGGTAAAATTTCACAACCATTCTTGACGAAGTTGAGGAGTATTTGTACAATCAAGTAGCATGAACGGGGATCTCCAAGGTGTAAAGGCCCTGAGCTAGGGTCTGAGGTGACAAAAGGTACACATGAGGCAGACCCTGCCCTACTGTACAATACAAATGAAATATGGTAACTTTTGGAGGGCTTTTAGTATCTAAATTAAAAGTATATGAAATTAATGCTAAAATAAAACATAAATGGTTATTGTAAATTAAAACTTCTAAGAGTATTTGATGTATATTCATGTAATCACTGTATATGATGTAAGTTATATAAAACATAAGTGAATATGGCAAATGCATACTGTGGAATAATATGCAGCAAATAAAAAATGAGGTCGAGCTATATGTATTCACACAAAATTATCTATAAGGCACTTATAGGTACAAAAAACAAGTCACAGAAAAATACGTACAGCAACCCCCATGTACTTTTAGAAAGAAACTTTACACGTACACAGGAATTTTCAGGACATGTATTCACATACTGCCTGAGTATATAAAATAAACAGATTATTTCATTTTTATAATGATTCTTTTAAACCATCCCAGAACATGATTTATGAATCTTGTGGTAATTTTTTTCCCTGAAAATATACCCCTGTCATATTTTAACTCTAACTTCTAAACTCATCTCCACCAAATAATTTCAAAATAATTGAAAAAAGCTAGCAAAAAAAAAAGGGGTGGGTGGGGAGGCATAAGATATAGATCAAAACAAAAAAAAGCAAAGAAATATACATGGCAAAACAAAATGAAAACAAGGTTGATCTACCAATATTCGGTTAAATGTAAATTAAAATAGTGTGATAACATTTTTTATCTATAAAATTGCTGTTTTTAATGACAACATCTAGTGTCTACAGGGTTTAATAAAATAGACATTCTCATATATTGCTGATGAAGCTAGAAATTGGCATAACCTTTCCGGAGAGAAATTTAGGCAATATATATGAAGACACTCTTTAAAATTTCTACCATTTGATTCTTTAATTACAATTAAATTCTAGGAATTTATCCTAAGAAAATAATCTGAAATGCACAAAATGATTTAAAAACACTTACCAAACCATTATGTTTAATAATGGAAACAATATCTGATAATTTAAAAATGCCTGTTCATTCACAAGAAAAAATACAATGCCACATTAAAAAACATGTTTTTTAAAAATAAGAGATATAGGAAAATGAACATGAAATTTTACGTGAATGAAGTAAAATGTAACTATGCACACATACTAACTCTGGGAGAAGATACACTGAACTGTTAACAGTGGCTATGTCTGGGTGGTGAAACTATACCTGATTGTAATTTTCTTCTTTAAGTCTTACATACATAAAGGAGAAGAAAGAAGAAAGATGTGATGCTCCCCTGCCTTCTCCTAACTTTTTACCAGGCAATGAAAGAATATGTATCACATATGCTCTATATTTTCACATGTATATTTGTGCAAAATAAATCCTTTTTATATTTTTATATGTTACCAACTTCAAAACCTAAACTAAAATAGTTTATAACAAATAATTAAAATTACAAAACCATTAAAAAATAAAATAGAGAGCAAGAGGGACTTCCCTGGTGGCGCAGTGGTTAAGAATCCACCTGCCAATGCAGGGGACATGGGTTCAAGCCCTGGTCCGGGAAGATCCCACATGCCGCGGAGCAACTAAGCCCATGTGCCACAACTACTGAGCCTGTGCTCTAGAGCCCACAAGCCACATTACTGAAGCCCACATGCCCTGGGCCCACACGCTGCAACTACTGAAGCCCACATGCTCTAGGGCCCGTGTGCCGCAACTACTGAGCTCGTGTGCTGCAACTACTGAAGCCTGTGTGCCTACAGCCTGTGCTCCACAACAAGAGAAGCCACCGCAATGAGAAGCCCGTGCACTGCAACTAAGAGGAGCTCCTGCTTGCCCCAACTAGAGAAAGCCTGCGCCCAGGAACGAAGACCCAACGCAGCCAAAAATAAATAAAATTAAAAAATAAAAAAAAGAAAAAAGAAAGAGAAAGAATGAGAACTTAAATAACATAGCCGAGGAAAGCTATCGCAATTAAGTGCAGAACAGCCTAAACTTCCAGCCACCAAAGCCAATGTAGAAACAAGATGTGCTACACAACTTTGTCTAATAAGGGGGGAGAAATATGGAGGGTAACGCTCCTTGAGGTATGTCAGACAGTGTGTTCAGCAGACTATACCCTGTGACATAGTTTATTATTCCTTTTTTCAGATGTGATAACTGAGACTGAGGGAGGTTAAGAAATAACTCGCTAAAGATTAAAAATCTAATGACCTCTTACCCAAGATTTGTATTAGAATTCAGGTTTTCAAGGTCTACATTCTTTCCACTAACATACTACACCTCAAAAATAAACAAACATAAGCCAGAGGCTATGTTTTTCTGAGTCCAGACAGAAATTTGGCTGGTAGGCCTTTCCATGAGACAAAAAAATACATAATAATTAGTGATTTCGGTGGTATTCAAAAATATGGAGGTATGTTCATCTGGACATAGCCTTTCCTAATCATCAATGAAACCCATCTTCTGACTGTCAATTAAACATTAAGGGCAAATGTTAAACTGCAGTTCTGTGGAGACAATTCTACACCAAACTTTACCTATAGAGCAACAGCTGTCAAAATGACCTCCTTCTAACTCAGTTGGAAAAAATATTCATATCATTTATAAATTTGTCTGAATAAGAATATCATGTTATCCAAATAAGCCCATAGAATTTCTATTTCTAAAGCCAAATGCTTGTCTAAGTTTCTCGTTAAAAAGGAAAAGGTAATTTTTTAAAATGGAAAAACAACTCTGCCAGCACCCAGGAATCTGTTATGATTTCTGCTATGTAATTTTCTTAAAATACATTCACACAAATGTTCATTTGGCACATCAAATCCATAGCTCTTGGGATACTAGAATGTCATAAATGTTTGCTTCCCAGAAACATGCCAGGCCGAAACACTTTTTTCATAGGCTTACTAAAATAATAAACATAAACAACCTTGCTTAAATAGTTTTGACAACATATGAACAGAAGGACAATATTCTAATATTGCCTCCTGCAGACACTAACCAGTCCCATACATGTTACGAGCTCCAATAAAATGCTTATTTTTCATTTTTTATTTTATGTTCCTTTCCTGACACTGGAATAGCTATATTTCATATTCATTCACTCAAAATTATTTATTGAATCTACAATGTGTTACGCATTGGAGACACAAAAAGAGACTAAGAAATTGTCATCGTTCTCAAGGAGCTCACAGTTCAGTAGGAAAGAGAGTCAATCAAACCAATCATTAGTTACAAGACTGTACTACACACTACAGTAAAGATGGCAAGAGAAAGATTTAACTCAGACCAGAAACTCAGACCACAAACTTTGTATACAGGATTGGTGATCTGTTACTCTTAGTTTCATTTTTTAGTCACAATTTTCAGTTGAATCCATATATGTTTTTATAGTCAGCCAACAATAACGTAACAGAAAAATTTATGTGTGGATCTCTAACTGCAAATTTCTTTTCTAGGAAACTTTTCTTTCAAAAGATTAGTTTTGATACCAAAAACATTTTAATTCGATGCTCAAGGCGCATGCTTAGTTCTGAGTACAGAAATCCAGCACCTGCCTTTCCTTAGAGAGTTGGCTGCTCTGCAGAGCCAACCATCTCTTCACATCAGCTGAGGCTGCAACTTTTCTCATTGTGGTCCATGCACCAATGGGAGAGACCTGTGTGGTGATGGAACGGTTCTGTATCTTGACTGTAGCAAGATGCATAATCAGAAGTAAAAAATAAAAGACAATTGTGAGAAAAAGATAATAAAATTACTAAAAATTTGAAAAATCCACATTTTAAAAAGCAGTCATTTTTTAATTCTATGGCAAACAAACAATGCATCATCACTTCCAAAGAGGGATAATCTCTCAATCATCCCAATTATCAATGTCCCTAAACTATTGTTTTATGTTTATTTTACTCTTGGATAACAGCTTAGAACCTCATACTTTGTATCATTTTTGAGTCACATTTTTGATTATTGTTTTAACTTTGAAGTTATCTATAATTTTCTTTCCCAGTTATCTCCAAATTAATGAAGAGTTGATTATGTAAAGAAAAACTTACCTTTCAGCTTGAAGCTTAGTGGTTTTTATTATTAAATCTTGAGTCTGTTCCTTTGCTGCCTAAAATTATAAACATACCTATTATCAGTACATTTCAACTTTTTTCAACTTCAGAAAACTAATACTGCCACTTACTGGAGTTCAGACTATAGCAAACGAGATCACACTCCAGAACTCAAAAGTTTAAAAAAGGCCCAAGTACCTGAAATAGATGTTTCAAGGCTCATACACTACGTTTAAGAAGAAGAGCTCACTCAGAATTCTCAATACACACAGAATGCTAAGGCTTACAAGAAAGAAAAAGGTATCACAACGATGTTTATTAAGGAATTTAATAGTTCCTGATGCTTCTTAGTGGAACAGAAGCACTGCCAGAGCCAGGTAAGGATGAAGAAGAGGACTTCGGCTATAGACATGCTGAGTTGAGGTACCAGGAAACCTCCGAATGAAGCTGTAAGTTAAGTCACTGATATGCTGCTGTGGAACTCAACAGAAATACCCAAGATGGAGATAAAAATTTGAGAGCTGGGATATACAAAAAAGAAAACCCTCATATAGGATTTTGGAGGACATTAAAGATAGCCCCATCTAAAGGACAGAGGGCTGTTCCTGGCCAAGTCATACTAAACAATCCTCTCTCCCCCAAACCAGAGCTGAAAGGATCAGGAGTGAAAACTTGATGAAAAGGTATTTCAAGGATTAGGAAAATATTTATAAAGTGAATTGAAACAAATCACAAGTGTAACCAGTGAGATTCTCTCTCAAAGACCTGAACTGGGGAACACTACAAAACTAAGGCAGTTACTAACAAGAAGAGAAACAAGTCAGTGGTTGTGAGGCAGGTAGAAACACAGGGCATTAAATGAGTCAGAAGTATGTAGGTCAATGTTAACTCTACAGCCAATCTAGAGGTTTGGAACTGCTTTAATAAACAGACTTAAACTTACATACATTTTCCTGAGATATTTTTAGGCTGAACATAAATCATAATTAAGCTGGGTCTTTACTGGGCATAGCATTAGTTTGAAATCATTCCTAAGGCTTTCCACTAAGGAATTTATTTCTGCTGCATTTGTTGAACATTATGGGATTGAAAAGTTTATCAAAATTCCACAGTTATGTCTATACTGGCAAGATCAAAATATAAAGGCTTCTGGAGTTAACTGTGCAATATTAGTAAACCATCACCAAAGAGACACAAAGACATTTATAGTTAAAAAAAAAATAAGCATAATATTTATATTCAAACATCCTACAGGGCATGATGTATCAGATATCCACACATTTTGTAGACCTATCTAGCAATTTCTGAAAGCTTATCAGGAACTAGGCTAAAATCCAGACATTATACAGTACCTGTAGGCGACATGTCATATCTTGACAACAGCTGTTCATTGCCTGAACATCTTCATGTATGCTTTCAAGTTCCTGAAAAGGAAAAAAGTAACATCAAGCAGTATATATAGTTAAAGAAATTTCTCCTCTTAGCCAAATCCTTATTTTTGTCCCTTTCTTGCCAAAGCATGACAAAAGATCCCATGTTTAAGACTGAAAACGATTAAAAATAATATCTAGTATAAGAAAAGATGTAAAAAAAGAAAACCTAGTATATTCTTTTTAGAGGGTCTGACAATAGGAAAATGGCAAATGCTTTAAGAATATGAATACCCGTTTATTCAGAAATTCTCACACTAGGAATTTACCCTAAGAAATTAATCAGATAAGTGTGCAACATATGTAAGAGATGATCAACAGAGTTGCCTAAAACAAACGGCAAATGGGAAATGTTTCCAACCATACAATGGAAACCCGTGCATACATTAACAATGATAATATCTGTGTGTGTGTGTGTGTGTGTGTGTGTGTGTGTGTAAATTAGCATGGAAAGATGTCTATATAAAGCTAAAAAAAGGCTTATAAAGCAATACATATATATGTGTGCAGAAGAACACAGGGAAGACTCTATGAAGGGCTATACAATAAAATACTGACAGGTTATTTCTGTGTAGTAGAATCATAAGTAATATCGCTAGTTCCTTCTATTTCTGAATTTATTATCTTTTCTATAATGAATTATTTATAACTTTTAATTAATAAAAAACAAGAAAATTTGAAAACCCAATAAACTAACAATAGTGCCTCCTCCTATATGGTTGAAAGTAATCACATATTAGATCATGCCAAAAATCTGGTAAGTCTCCCAGTAACATTCTTTCCCTATATACTCCCACCTCCAGCCCCCTCCACATATGCAAGAATTTAGCTGGTCACTAAGGTCTATCATTTATAGCCCTTATTATGTACATCTTATCCATTTCTTTTTTTTACAACCCAAACAACTACTACTTGAGTTCAGTTCAATTGCTTTCTCCTGTATGGACTGATAAAAAACGGTCTTCCAACAGGCCTCCCAGGCTCCAAACTCTTTACTAAATCATTCTCTACAATCTTTACTGAACCAATCTCTTAATATGAAAAAATGATATCACAGAATTATATTTAACTTCATACTGCACTATTATCTTCTTTTTCCCAATTCAATTCAGTGTCACACAACAGAAAGATATGCAAGGAAAGAAAGTTTCAGTGGTAGACAGGGTCTTATTATGGTCTCTTTCAACACAATGCCCAAACCTTCAAATAAAAACATGACAGTTTTATGAAGGGGTGGGCCAATCACAGGGCAAGAGATAAGAAAGCAACCAAGCAGGACTACGAACAAAATGTAAGGATGAACCAGAGTTAGGAAATCACTTACAAGAATATGAGCATACATCCTAGTTCCAGAATTAAATTTTTTCCTTTCTCTATATAAAGTACTTTGAATTATAAAAATCATAGCACCAGACATTTTCAAATGTTACTCTCTGTATCTTACCATTAATAGGATGTAAATCAAATTATTTAAGTGCTAAACTGCTTTAAACAATAAAAGAATGATTTCAAAATAGCAATTAATGTCAGCAATAGCAAACAGGTACTAATAGGCAAATTAATCTATTTCCTTAAATCTCACTGTATAAGACTAGCACTATGACATTATCAGCCAACAAGGTCAAGAATAACTACTCCTAATATTTACTTTAGCTACTATAGTATACTGAATGAATCTGATTTGTAAAATAATAGAAATTACATCTCTTAATATATGAGTTAAATGCAGAGATTTGCTAAATTGTAATTCAAGAACCTTTACATTGCTTGTATGTAAAGTCTTCATTTGAACTCAAACTGCCTTTTATTCCCGATTAAATAAAATTACAGATTGTTAAATACAATTGCAGTATGATACCTTTAAAGAAATCTTTTATTATGGAAAAATTTCAAAATTATCTAAAAGTTGAGATAATGTGAATGCCTATGTACACAACACACGGCTTTAACAATTAGCAACTCATGACCACTCTTGTGTAATCTATCTCTGTACCCACTTTCTAACTCTCTTCCCATCCACTTTCTCCCTCCCTAAGCTGAATTATTTTGAATTCTAGATAGCATATCATTTCATCCATAAACATATCGGTATGCACGTCTAAGAGAACTCAAAAAAAAATGCCATTTACCCATCTAAACATTCAACAATAATCCCTTAATATGAAATTTCTATTCAGTGTTCAAATTTTCCCAGTTGTTTCAGATTTTTAAATAATTTGTTCAAGTCAGGAACCAAATGAGATTCACAAACATCAACTGGTTGATATTTCCTTTATTTCTTTAAATAAATTGTCTTTCTCTTACAATTTATTTGTTGAAGAAACCAGTTCATTTGCCTGCACAGTTCCCAGCACACCAGACTTGCTGACTGCTTCTTCATACTGTTAACATACTCCTCTGTCCCCAGTATTTCCTATAAACTTGCAATTAGATCTAGAAGCTTGATTATATTCTGGTCCAATTTTCTTGCAAGAATTCTTCACAGGTGATGTTGTATACCTTTGTTAGGAGTCACATATATGACTGTTTCTTTTTGTGAGATAAGCAGTTACTGATGATCAGTGGTTTCAACTTGGGCAAATTTGTCCCCCAAGGAGGCATCTGGCAATGTTTGGAAACATTTTTGGCTGGAACAACTTGAGGAAAGGTGGTGCTCCTGGTATATAGTGGACAGAGGCCAGGGATGCTGCCAAACATCCTACAAAGCAGAAGACAACCCTCAACAACTATCTGGCCCCAAATGTCAATAGTGCCAAGACTAAGAAACCCTGAGCTAGATCCTTTAAACAGTGGTTACAAACTCTTCTATCATTTCTTCATTTAGTAAGTGGAATATTACTATAAAGGGAACCCTTGCCTCAACAATTGTATATAGTTGGTACCAAAGACAGGATAAATGCTTGACTCTTTCCGTTTATTTAGTTGTTTTCAAAACGATAAGTTGGTTCCCTCATATCCACCTAAGATAAGCAGTGAGGGTTCTGTTGGTTTTTAGTATCATTATGAACTCATGGATTTAAATACGCTTGCTGTGTTTCAGTCCACTGCAGTCATTCCTACTGATGCTCAAATCATCCTATATTTGGCCAGTGGAAACCTCTTAAATTATAGCTCCAGAGTCCTTTTGACACTTCCCAGTAGTCTTATACAGCCTCCTCACTTGGTACCTCCTTCCAGAGGGAAATGGTGTTTAGAGAGTACAGTTTAGATGTGCTCATCACTACTATCGCTCCCTATTTTTATGAACACTACCAAACTTCCCTTTTAATCTTCCAGATTATTAGCCTTCAGCCAATGAAATCCTACTACACTGTTAAAAATAATCTGTCTCACTAGAACCATGTATGACACTTTCATACAACTCACACAGAACTATTAACTATGTAATATCACTCAGTAATATTAACATAATTAACGAATTAATATGTATTATATAATACATAAATAAAATATAACATAATAAATAAAATTCATTTTCACCCTATGGTGAGTAGACTGCTCACTCAAGTGTAATGAAACATTATTTATTAACTGAAGTCATTGATCTTAATTAATCTGAAAATTTCATAATTTAGGATGCAGTAAAGTAACTCAATCCTAATTCATCTCCAGCGGAGAAGTGGTTATCTAAGGGAGGTTTATTCAGTGAGGGACTATTTCTACTGGAAAACCACTCAGAGAAGTGCTATGTTTTGTTTGTTTGTTTGTTTGTTTCAAAAGCGAAGATTCCTAAAAGAACATCCTGGAACATATGTTACAACTTTCCAAAAAGCAGCACTAGTGGAGGTTAGAGATTTAGAAATCACACTAATCCAGAGAAAGACCTAGAAGCTGCTGGAGTAAGTAGCTAAATTTCTATTTGAGCACGGTACACGAGTTGCAAACATATCAACTCTATCCATAGAGAAGCTCAGCACAGAGCCAGGCATATAGTAAGCTCTCAATAAATGGTAAGTGAAAAGTTTACATACTTCCTTCACTTCCTTGAAAATGCTTACGAACTCTTCATTGATGGCTAAACTTCTGCGTTCAATATCTCCACGTAAATTTCTTCGAGTGCGCAAACTATTTTCAACAAAAAAGGTTGAGAGTGCCTTGAGAGCTTCCAACATCTCCTACATAATTGATAATAAAAGAACATTATTGGGACCGATTTTCAAATGTTTTTCTAATCTCAAGCAAAAATTTAATGAAATCATTTCCAAATAATTTGTTTCCATTACACAATCCAAAATATATTGGATGACCTTCACATTACTGAACAGTAAACCTATTTCTGAGACACAATAAGGACATACTTACTTGTGTATTGTGACATATATACATTATTCAATGCAGAATTGTTTGGAACTGCAAAGATTAGAAAAAACCGTAATGTCCATCTAAAAAGGATTGGTTTAAAGACATTATGATATAGCCATTGAAAAAAAGTGGAAATTCTTGGGACTTCCCTGGCAGCGCAGTGGTTAAGAATCTGCCTGCCAATGCAGGGGACATGGGTTTGAACCCTGGTCCGGGAAGATCCCACATGCCGCGGAGCAATTGAGTCTGTGCGCCACAACTACTAATAAGTCTGTACTCTAGAGCCCGCGAGCCACAACTACTGAGCCCGTGCGCCACAACTACTGAAGCCCGCACGCCTAGAGCACGTGCTCCGCAACAAGAGAAGCCACCGCAATGAGAAGCCCGCGCACAAGAGTAGCCCCCCGTCGCCGAAACTAGAGAAAGCCAGCATGCAGCAACGAAGACCCAATGCAGCCAAAAATAAATAAATTTTTAAAAAATGAATTAACATTTAACAAGAAATAACTGCTGCGGCACTGTGCTAAGCATTTCACCTGGATTCTCTCATTGAACCTGCACAACAACCCTGAGGAGGTTACTGGCAGTATTCCCAATTTAGAAACTTAACATAAGCTCACAGAAGTTAAGGGACTTATTGAAACCATAATGCACCAATTTGGTGGTTATATCTAATAAGTGGTGGTCCCAGAGCCAATCTTTCTTACTCATTATAGTATAACGCTATTTTTTACACACCAATTCTTATTGACAGCTTACTGTCAGTTACCTAAAAATTTATCTATAAAAATAAAATTTATAGGTAAAAATTCTGTATCTATAGATTAAAAATTCTATTTTTATCTATAAAAATGTATCTGTAAAACTCTCACTTAAACATAGTCTAAAATATGTATAAAAAATAAAAATTTATCTATGAAACTTATCTAAAAATTTTAGATAGAAACTTATCTGTAAAACTCTCACTTATACACATTCTTTTTTCTTTATGCCACCATGGCATGACCAATATACCTAGCGACTCAGTGATACAGAAGAGATAATCTGCTACCACGGAAGATGGAAAGTCCAATCTAAGTTTCAGGAGGTACTTGGGAGAGGATAAACTATCCTGTAAAGAAATACAAGGTAGTTTACAAGATAAACTATCTTGTAAAGAAATACAGCATGAGCCCATACATCATAGACAGTGCTTAGCTCACAACAAAAACTAGTAGCCATGAGCAGGTGGTAGCCCTTTCACGCTGCAAATTATTTTAATTGTTTTCACCTGTCAATGGAAAGGCTCAAGGATGCTTAGCCCTGATCTCCTGTTCCCCCTAAGCTCACCATTCGCGCTGTCTTATTTTGTAGTTTGCTCTTTTGCATTTTTCTTCTCCTGCCTGGGGCTCTCCTCTCCCCTCCCTGCTCAGACCCCCGACACCTGCGGGGGCAGGGGACTTCACCGTTTGCCTTCCCTATCCAGAGTCTTCGAAGAACAGTTTTAATTAAATATGGGGCAACACCCAGGAAACCTCTTTGCTCTTCCAGGGGCTCCTCGGCCTCCCCTTTCTCACCTGCCCCACACGGCAGCGCAGCGGGTCCCGCGGACCTGGGGTCCCCTCCGCGGCGGGGACAGGGACGAGCCCGAGGGCGCCGGACAGACACCGCCCCCAGCCCGGGTCCGACCCGCGGACGACGCAGCACCCTCGACCCCGCCAGTTCCGTTCACCTTGTCGTTGTCCAGCCGTGTGTCCAGGATCTTACGCAGTTTCCGCGATAGCGGGTTGTTAGTCTGCGCCGAGGGCCCGCCGGCCCCATTGTTGAGGCCGTTGGCAGCCCCGGTGGCGGGCACTGCTACTACTTCCCCGCTGCCCTCGGCCATAGCGCCGCACGTCCCGCCCCCCAACTCGGCCCCAGCTACCTTAGCCCAGAGCACTGACGCGCGCGCAGCCCCGTAGCGCGCCGGCAGCCCCGTAGCGCGCAGGCGCGCATCTGCCGCGCATGCGCCCTCGGAAGGCTCTGCTTCGCCCACTCCTGTGCCGCCAGGCTGCTAGGAGTGGTAACAGCTGCTGGCAGGGTAGAGAAGTTGGGGGAGGCGGAGCAAGACCCGCCGGGTGAGAGGAGAGTAACGCGAGATTTTGCAAAGTGGACTGGAATTCAAATCAGGTTTGGAGTTTGGGAATTACGGTTTATGGGATTAAAGGCACTTCGGGGTCCTGAATCTGTGAAAGTCTGAGCTAGACTTAAGTAAAATACACTGAGGCCTGTGCCTGGGCAACTGTGTTCAGTAGAAGCTAACTCTAGTTAAATTCGCTGTAGAATACTTTGTAACTGTTTCCTGCTATGAAGGAGATTTAAATGCAGATGTGGAAAGAATTCCAAAATATAGTATGTGAAAAAGCAAGGCGAGTTACAGTGTGTATAGTGTGATCACTTGTGTGGTGTGTGTGTGGTGTGTGTGTGAAATAGAGGTACGTGTAAATTTAGGCTTTTTTTTTTTCAGGATGACATTCCTTTGGAAGAGAGGCTTCCAATTTTCATTTTGTACCTTTCCAAACGGACTGAATTTTCTAATCTTCCCCGTGGGTTACTTAGTATGTCAACAGCGGTTATTAAGGTAAGGTAATTATGGCCTACTTTTCTGTGTTTATTTGTACTTCTCTGAATTTGCAATTGTAAAAAAAAAGGAAAGAAAATAATTTGAAAATTAGGATGATATAGTAGGATGAAGACAGGGAAATTATTGTAAAATTTAAATATATTTAAAGCAATTTGTATATTTTTTAATGTTCATCTATCATTCTTTTATAAGGCTAACTATAAATACTAAGTTAAGGGCTTGAAATCAATACTTTTCAACAGTTCAAATCAGTATTTTCCAACAGTTAAAATAAATATTCAGGTAAGCCTCATTAGAGACCTAGGTTTTATATATATATGTGTATATGTAATATTTATATATAACAATTTTTATTGAAGATAAAGGTTTTCTTTTATTGAAAATGTAAAAGATATTTATGTATATTGAACTTCCTTAATATAGTAGACACTGAAAGTATTAGAGACAGGCTCCGACCTAAATATTTTAATTTAATGGGAGAGCAAATACACGCATGTAAAAGAGTAAAGCATTTTTATATAACAAAGAATTTTTTTATAAATTTATTTATTTGTTTGTTTTTGGCTGCGTTGGGTCTTCGTTTCTTCACGTGGCTTTCTCTAGTTGTGGCAAGTGGGGCTACTCTTCGTTGCGGTGCGTGGGCTTCTCATTGTGGTGGCTTCTCTTTGCTGCGGAGCATGGGCTCTAGGTGCGTGGGCTTCAGTAGTTGTAGCACGTGGGCTCAGTAGTTGTGGCTCGAAGGCTCTAGAGCGCAGGCTCAGTAGTTGTGGCGCACAGGCTTAGTTGCTCCGCGGCATGTGGGAAAGCATTTTTATATAACCACAGAAGAACCATGCTGAAGTGTAAAACGTGGACATACTTACCTTCCAAGTATCAGTTGAAAGGAGGGCCACTTCAATTTCCCCCTCTTCCCCTTTGGTTAGTTATTAAAGCTTTCCTGCTCTTTGGCTTCTGAAATAAGTGGAAGTCACATCATTTTGGTCACTGTGACTTCATCAAAGTATAATATGGCATTTATTAAAGCCACGTCTGGTGAATCACAGAACAAAATAGAATGCTCAGTCCTCTACATTCTTCCCTGTATTAAAAACAATAGTTTCTATTATTTAGTGTCCAAATTTATTGAGAATCAGGCTCAATGCTGGATCCTTTTAATACACTATTGTTATCTGCATAACTACCCTGCAACATAGGGATCATTACCATTTTATCATGTCATTAGTATTCTGTTTATGATGAGTAATCCAAGGCTACAGAAGTCTTTCCGAGGACATAAGGCTACCTCACATCTCATCGTTAGTTACCAGCTAAGTTGACAGTAATTTTCAAATTCTACTACTGCTTCCTCAGTTTTCATTTTGAGTTGTGTACACCTCTCACTTGGAATGTAGGCAAAAACTTTTGCAGCCAAACTTTCAAATGTATTCTGTGTCGGTGTTGCCTTGACACTGTGCTTACTACCTTTGCACTGACACCAGCACTATTTCTCGAAAACAGATTTGGTCCTGTCACTTTTTCGCTTTAAAAACCATAATGGCAGTTACTGAAGAAAATAACGTTTTAGTATGGTGTACACGTACCTTGATAATCGGATCTCAGAGTATCGCTGTAGTTTTATTTCTAGGTACTTGTTTGTGATTACAACACTCAAGCCACCTGTATTTTTGGGGCCACAAACACATCCCAAACTTTTAAGTCCCCATACATTGGCTCATATAACTCACTCTTCCAGGAATGTGTGCTCCTGTGAAACTGGTGAAATCCTATTTGTCCTTCTGGCTCCACTCAAATATCACTTCTTCTCTGTACCTTCACATAGCTCCCCATCTGGCCTTGGGCAGAATGAATTGATATGTCATGCAAATTCCATAGCACTTAATATAATACAACACCTCTAATAACTTGTGTCATACAATTATTTTTAAATTTACTTAAGTTTTGTGTTCCTCCACTAGACTCTAAGTACCTGGATGATGGGGACTTTGCCCTCCTGGTTTCCAGCACAATATCGTACACAATATATGTGCTGATTAAAGGCTTACTGAATGAAAAGTATTGAAATGAAGTGTTTGTGTTTTTTTAATTTTATTAATTTTGGCTGTGTTGGGTCTTCATTGCTGCGCATGGGCTTTTCTCTAGTTGCGGCGACTGTGGGCTACTCTTCGTTGTGGTGTGTGGGCTTCTCATTGTGGTGGCTTCTCTTGTTGCAGAGCACAGGCTCTAGAGCACAGGCTCAGTAGTTATGCCTCACGGGCTCTAGAGGACAGGCTCAGTAGTTGTGGCACACGGGTTTAGCTGCTCCGCAGCAAGTGGGATCTTCCCAGACCAGGGATTGAACCTGTGTCCCCTGCATTGACAGGCAGACTCCTAACCACCGCACCACCAGGGAAGTCCCGAAATAAAGTTTTACAGCTTTATAAGTTAGAGTTTTTTTCTTTTGAAGTGTAGTTGATTTACAATGTTGTGTTAGTTTCTGCTGTACAGCAAAGTGATTCAGTTATATATATGTATATATATAAATTATTTTTCAGATTCTTTTCTATTATAGGTTATTTCAAGGTATTGAATATAGTTCCCTGTGCTATACAGTAGGACCTTGTCGTTTATCTATTTTGCATATAGTAGTATCTGTTATCCCAAGCTCCTCATTTATTCCTCCCCTTCTTCCCCTTTGATAACCGTAAGTTTGTTTTCTATGTCTGTGAGTCTATTTCTGGTTTATAAATAAATCCATTTGTATCTTTTTTTAGATTCCACATATAAGTGACATTGTATGATATTTGTCTTTCTCTGTCTGACTTACTTCACTTAGTATGATAATCTCTAAGTCCATCCATGTTGCTGCAAATGACATTATTTCATTCCTTTTTATGGCTGAGTTATATTCCATTGTATAAATCTTCTTTATCCATTCATCTGTTGATGGACACTTAGGTTGCTTCCATGTCTTGGCTATTGTAAATAGTGCTGCTGTGAACATTGAGGTGCGTGCATCTTTTCAAATTAGAGTTTTCATCTTTTCCAGATATATGACCAGGAGTGAGATTGCTGTATCATACAAAAATGAACTCAAAATGACTGATAGACTTAAATATAAGACATGAAACTATAAAACTTCTAGAAGAGAACATAGGCAAAAAATGCTCTGACATAATCATAACGTTTTCTTAGATCAGTCTCTCAAGACAAAAGAAATAAAAGCAAAAATAAACAAATGGGGCTTACTCGAACTTATAAGCTCTTGCACAGCAAAGGAAACCATGAACAAAACGAAAAGGCAACCTACGGAATGGGAGAAAATATTTGCAAATGATGCAACCTATAAGGGCTTAATATCCAAAATATACAAACAGCTCATACAGCTAAATATCAAAACAAACAAACAAACAATCAAAATATGGGCAGAAGACCTAAACAGACATTTCTCCAAAGACATACAGGTGGCCAACAGGCACATGAAAAGATGCTCAACGTCCCTAATTATTAGAGAAATGCAAATCAAAACTACAATGAGGTTTCACCTCACACTGGTCAGGATGGCCATCATCAAAAAGCCTGCAAACAGTAAATGCTGGAGAGGGTGTGGAGAAAAGGGAACCTTCCTGCACTGTTGGTGCGATGTAAACTGGTGCAGCCACTATGGAGAAGAGTATGGAGTTTCCTTAAAAAACTAAAAATGGAATTAGAGTTCTTCATTGCAATGAATAGGAACTGACTGGGGCTGACTTCAATAGAAATTTATTTGACAAGAGGATTTGGGGTAAGTCTCAAAATTAATAGCAAGGATGAAGGACCACACTTGGAAGAGAACATGGGGAAACAAAAGCAAGCTGGGGACACATTGCCATCATCAAAATCCCTCCAGAGAACAGCTCATCGTGGACCCCAATGTCATTACTGCTGAAGCCTGGACCGACAGGTCACTTCACCCACTGACCCTGAACTTTAGGATGCCTCCACCGCACAACTGCCGGCGCTGTCTCTGGAGACTGTTGTTTAAAATTATACCACCTCCTGAGGAGTTGTCCCCATCTATGCTTTTTGTGTCAGTTTCTCTTGATTCCCTGCAGTGCCAATTTCTTTGTGTCCTCAGGTTTTGTTTCTACATTTGTGTGTCTGCTTAGTTGAACCTAAAGCACATGTCCATGCTCTGTTTTCTACAAAGGCTGAGAAATCGAGTATGAAATTTTTACCTTTCATCGTTAGTTATGTCAATTTCTCCATGAAAGTCCTAGTAACATGTACTGTCTCTCCTGTGTATTTCTCTCAGGGACTTTGAAGCATCGGTCCCACATTTCCTATCTCTTTTTAATCACGACTCCCTGCGCCTTTTCTTTGCATCTTCTGTTACCTGCTTTACTGCCTAGTCCTTGATTTTTAGGCATTGAGGCTTCTCACATGGAAATAGTTCCTGATTTCTCTCTTTTCTCTGAAACCTCATGAATTTTGAAAGCTGCTTCAAATTTTTCGTTTTCTTTTTTTGATTCAGGCGTATTTTCTGCCGCAGTTCTCATCCTTCAGTTTGTCCTTAAAATTCTCCAATTTTAAAGTTTCATAACTGAAACCTTAGCAGTCATGAATATAATGATTTCATACCTCTTTAGCAATAAAATGATTTCAAACCTGCACATGAAATCTGCAGAATGAATAACTGCAGCTGGTCTGACTGGAGCCTGGGTAAGGGCCGGCTTTCTTTGCTAAGTACACCTTTTTTTCTCATCTGTGCAGCCTCCCCTTGGCTGCCTGTACCAGTTGGAGTTTGGGGTTGCAAAGTAACAGACAGTGTAATTTACTGGAAGGATGTGAAGGCAGCTCAAAGAACTGAAGGCTGAAGGTCCAGCTGGGAACCAGCAGCAACTCAGGAGCTCAGTAAGTAGAACCACTTGGTTTTTAGGGCACTGCTGCTAATTCTTTTTTCTGCTTTTGCTCAACATTCGAAGTCCTAAAGCGAGTAAACTTTGACCACACGCCCATCCATTGGTCAGGACACCATGTTTTATGGTTCCAACCTGTTCCCAAACCAAACTTGAGTGCGCTCAGGCAAAGCGCAGCAAAGCCAATCTACCAACACCAGGTTGTAGTGAAGAAAAGTGCAGCATTTCTTGCAAAGTGCCAAGCGTGGGACAAAGCAAGGGAAACGTGAAGCTCATGCTCAAAAGACCAGAACTCCCCAGTGGCTTTCGGGGCAGGGTTTTTAAAGACTGTGAGGGAGAGAGTCCCAGGATGCCTGATGGGCTTGTGCAGAATTCTCTGATTGGTTGATGGTAAAGTAACAGGGTGATGTTTCAGGAATCTCCGTCGTCAACCTTCTGGTTCCAACCAGTTTGGGCTCTACGTGCTGGTGGTCAGCATGCAGTTAACTTCTTCCATCTGGTTGGGGTTTTAGTATCTATCAAACGACTCAAGGATATGACTAAGGATTTTATCTATAGCCATTGAGGAAGAATTAAAGGTTCTTGATTTTGTTTTATGAGAGAACTACTATGATATTGTCTTGTTTGACTGTTTTCCTTTGTTTCTGCATTTTTTTCACTTCTCTGATTAAATTTGCTCTTTGGAACTCTGGAAAGGCCTAGGAGGCTAAAGCTTTTTACAAACAAGAGGCAGGGGACATGAGGATGTCTGTGCCTGGGAAGGCCCTACAGGGTCCTGCTTGGTTTCAAACCCAACAGCACACAGTACTGGAGAGGTAATTCTGGTCAACATAATAACTATAAATTTGTGGTCTGTGAGACAGATTAGGAAATAATCTATACTTAAAAGGTGCAAAATCCAACTAGATAAAGAGTTTAGTTACAGCCCCAGCACTGGGGGTAGATGGGACTGTCATGCAGATTTTAATTAGCTTCCAGCAAACAGAGATTAGTTGCAACTCAGTGGGGTGGGAGATAGTGTGAGTATGAGATGTTGTGCACCCAAATTAGACGATTATATTTATGACAGGGGTTATAGTAAGAGTTGTGTCAGAAGTTAGTGTAAAAATAAAATGGCTAAGAAGTAGCCAGATGAAACCATTTCTAGATAAACAGGATTGGCATATTAACAGGCAGCTCAGGTAGATTATTCTGGAAATTGCCACTAGGTTCCAGGTCTCTGTCCAGAATCTCTAACCACAGCCTGAAATTTTTTGAGTAAAGAGATGATAAAATGACTTAGCAACTCCAAGAATATGTAAAAATAAGCATGGAGAAAATAATGATAAAATCCTTGGAATCAATGTTTTTGTACCAGTTTGGAATGTTAAGGGCAAATCTAGGTGACCACTACTGCAGAAAATAAATGAAAAAGAAAATGGGAAATTTGAGCAGTGTATATAATCATCTGAAAAATATAGGTTGTCTTGTTTTTAAATCTGACATATTAAACTTGTAATTTCAACTTGAAAATTTTTTGTGTGTGATTTTAATTTTAAAAGGTATAATAGTATTTGATAAGTTTTAACAGCGTTTATAAGTTTAAATAAATCTGAATCATCAAATCTTTATTATTAGGTTTTCAAGTATCATTTAAGTACTTAAGAATATTTTGTGTGTTAGGTTTGTAATTCCACCTGCTTATCTGTTTGAAGTACTTTAGAAAACCAGATATATGAAATATTTAAGTTGAAAAGTTTTAGATAATTAAGTCAATCACAAAAAAATTCTTAAATATTTAGGAGAACATAACTTGCATGACTTTAATATGAAATATTTAAAATAATACATGAATTAAATTTATGAGTTGTACTTAAATGCTTGGGGAAATTTAATATCTTAAATTTAGAAACAAGTTGAGTATTAATTAACAATCACTAGGTTTGTAAGTAGATTTACTTAATATTTAAGTTGTATCTTCAACTTACAATCAAAATTGTAAGGTATGAACTATTAGTGAAAATGAATGCAGATGTAAGAATTCGTTTCTACACACAAAAGCTATCTTTATACATTTTTAAAAAACCCCAAAAACCTTAATTATCAAGTGATACTTCTCCAGAAAGCTACTGATATGTTGAAACCACTGGTAAAATGATTGGTACCCTGGTTCCAGAGTCAGAAAGCCTGGTTTGAATCTCAACTCTGCCACTATATGCCCCCGGGCAAGTCATATTTTGCCTCCAATTCTCAATCTCCTCCTGTACAAAATGCTATAACACTACCTGGGTTATTGAGTAATGAGGACTAGATGAAGTAAGATGGGTGTAAGAGGTATTATATAATCGAGAAAGTAACACGTAGTTGCCACATTTATCTGAGCTATTTCACACACTCTCAGTGGAACTATGCAATAATCCATTCCTGCCCAAGTTTCATACAACAGTCCCACATTATCAGATAAATAAAGCATATATATTTTTTCACACACTTCCTATCTCCTTTCAGCCTCAAGTTTCATCTGGCACTCACGTGTACGCATACATGTAAATACATAGTTTAATACTAAGGTGTAAACATCCGTGCACTTTCCAGAGTTTCCTCTGGCCATTCCCTCTTTCCTTATACATATGCATGTATTCTCCAATAACAAGCCTCATTGTGTCTACTTGTTCGTTCTTGTGGTCCGAATCTACAGGGTTGCCAGCTGGCCTCTCTTATTTAACACATACTACACGTAGTCACCAGATAGTAATGTCTCCAGTTTAAATAGCCACAGGTACTCTTTTCATTGTCCAATTTCTGTGCTGCAGCTTCAACATAGAAACCGTCTATTTCCCCTTCTTTTGATTTGGTCTCCACCTGTCACTGTTCTGCATAGGTCTGACAGCTTTTGGCTTTTAATTGATTGTTACTGATTTTGTTTTCAGAATAGATGAGTCCATGGCCTCTTATCAGAATTAAGCAGTCCACCAGTCACAGGGAACCTGATGTCTGTTGAACTCTTTTTCTGCTTGAGTTTCCCACCTACGCTGCGCTGTGCTTTGGCCATCACATCCATCCCTTTGCCTGGAACGCATTTCCTTTCTTCCTCCCTTGACTATCACTTACTCATTCTTTTAGAGTCTCAGGAGCCTCCTCTTCCAAAAATGTACCGAGTCAGGCCAGCTGTCCCTTCCATGTGCTCTTGAATCACCCTCCAGGTGGTTCTCTCACTGCACTTTCACACTCTGTGTCATTATCGACACATTTTTATGATATTATTCGCGCTAATCTGTGAGCTCCCTGAGTCTAGAAACCATCTCATTCATCTTCGAATACTTGGCACTTCATGCAGTTTCTGTAATGTTGTTGGAATTTGATAAGTATTTGTTGAATAAATGAAAAATTAATATGAATAAATGAATAGACTGATGTATTTGAATAAACGATGACCCAAATTGTAGAAAATATATTCTGTTCTAAACCAAGCTGAAAACACAGCATTTCTGTTAATATTAATGTCCTCACCCTTCACTCATTTACCCAGAGGAGAAACTCAGGGTTATCTCTGCTTCATCTCCACTACGCCCCTCACTTTCCCTGGTAATGAATCGTGTATTGAAATCCTTCACAGAACTCTCATATCTATGCCTCTAGCTCCCCCTTCCTAGTCCCATCGGTACCTCCCTATTCAAGACCAGAATTTTCTCAACAATTTATTAACCACTTCCCTTCTTTCTGTTTCACAGTTCATGATAAAATAGTCTTTTATAGTCCGTGAAATGGTCTCATAGTACATTGGTACCAGATTTTTTTCTTAAATACAGTTCTTGGTATGTCTTGATGTATTGATATATCACTTCCTGGATCAAAACCTTCAATGCATCCCTATTCCAAATGTAAAGCAGCGATCCCCAAACTTTTCAAAAGTATTACCCCCTTCAGCTAAAACATGTTGAGAGTGTGCAGTGCACAGATACATACATATTTATAACTATATATTTAAGTTATGACTGTAATAACATGCTAGAGACATAAACGGGCATACGTTGCATTATTTAACGGGCACAAAAACATAAAAGGTTGAGATAAAGAGAAAATAAATTTTGAATAATTTTTATTTTATTAAGGTTCAAAGAACTTTTTAAATCTAAATTTTTATTATTCATATACATGTTTACTTACATATGCATATAATTTATAGATATGTCTGCTTAATTATTTTACTTTAAAAGATTTTATATGTATTTATTCATATTTATGGTATGTGTATATATATATATATATATGCTTCATTATTTTTTAAAACTTTTGTTAATACTTTGTGATACAGCAACTGAAGTGGCTGCTCTCATTCCAAGTTCAGTTTATTTTAATACCTCGTTCAAGGGCTGTCATGGAAAAAAACTCAGGATTTCGCAAAGGCACGATACTATTATACCGTTGATAAGAAGGTTCATCATAAATAACATGGGGTCTATACCTATATTTCAAATATCACTTTTTCTAATACTATTTCTTATCACCTCTCATTAGATTATCCTTGGTTTTGTCTTGTAACGTAGGTGGTGAACATCTTATACTTGGAGGATAAGGAATATCAGCTCTGCCACATTTTAATTTATTTGTGTTTGTATTATTAGTACTATCTTCAATCTGTGGGTTCTCTGAAGGCATCTTTTTAGGCTGTTTGCCATTTTGGAGGATGTTTAGTTAAACTTAAATGACATAATCTATAATCCACCAAACTGGACCCTCACGTCTGCAAACTCATTGCAAGGTAGCCTGTTGCAGTGAGCAACACACTGAAAACTAGCAAAAAACTATGACTCCCTCCCAATCCTGGCCTTATGGAGCACCCACCCTTCCCTCAGGATGCCTCCCCGACTGTACATGACATGAGATCTATGACCTTGAAATATGGAGGGTGAGGGAACTAGAGTCAACCCATAGAGTGCATTTCAGTAATGCATCATTTCTAACATTAAAAATTAAAACTAAATAAAAGTTTTGACATCATCTTGCACCCCATTG